AGCGGCGGGTGCCTATAATCCCAGCTTCTCGGGAGGCTGAGGCAGGAGAATCCCTTAAACCCAGCAGAGGTTGCAGTGAGCCAGGATTGTGGCATTGCACTCCAGCCTGGGCAATGGGGTGAGATTCCAATACAAAAAGTAGCCAGGTGCGGTGGCACACATCTGTAGCCCCAGCTACTGGGGAGGCTGAGGCAGGAAAATAGCTTGAACCTGGGAGGCGGAGGTTGCAGTGAGCCAAGATCATGCCACTGCACTACAGCCTGGGTGACAGAGCAAGACTCAACAAACAAACAAACAAAACCCCTCCATCACAGCCACTGCTCACCACGCCCTCACTGTGTGTTGGGCATTTTACAGGTATGATCTGTGACTTCAGTACCATGAAGCAAGGTGCTTCACTCCAGCTTACAGATAGGAAACTGAGATGTAAAGAGGCGAAGTCACTTGCCTGGGGCACCCAGCCGCCTTAGAGGCAGGCCAAATTCCAACCTGGTCTCTCTAACCCAGAGCACCTGAAGACCCACCTGACCCCGCTGCTCTGGGCCAGTAGGCACCTCCTGGTCTTGGCAGGTCACAGGGCCCAACTGTGGGTCACACCAGAAAGTACTACAAGACCAAGATCCCTGTTGTAACCCTCCGCCCTATCCCCAGGTTCCCAAGGTGTTCCCGGCCCTGCAGGGCCACGGGGCCCCATTCTTAACCAATCTCACAAAGGCAAAATGAGCACTCTGTACATGCCGTTCACGAAGACTGTGCCGGGAAGCTCTTCTGACTCAAGGGCAGGAGACTTAGAGATAAACAGGCATGGGGTAGAACACTGACTCTGTGATTCTGCAAGCTGAGCTCTGAACCTTGGCTTCCCTATCTGTAAAATGGGCTTCCAAAAGTACTAACCTCCCAGGGATGTGGTGAGGCCATCGTGAGGCCACAGATGTGAAAGTTTATTTTCACCTCTAAAGTGCCATGCACACAAGTGATTAGTATTTTATTGTCCTGGCTTACGGGAAGTCCCCCTGAAGTTGGGGAAGACTTAGAGTGTGCACAAAAGAGGAAGGGAGACCAGGCAGGCCGGTGAAGGTGCCACAGTGCCAGGATCCCTGGCAGGAGCCGAGGCCCAGGCCACCACCAGAGGGAAGGACAGGGCCTTCTGCAGCTGAGGCTTGTCCGTGTTATGCAAAGACCTTAGTCTGGCTTTGTACAGCATTCTTTTTCTCCCTCAGATGAGCTCACACTGGCGCTCTGCCCCTTCAGTTGGCAGGTCAGGGCTTTCCTTAACTAGTGCTTAACTAGGGATTACAGCTCATAGTAAGAACAGTATTTTATAATCTAACGCACATACAGGAAAGTAAAGGATGCAGATGTAGGAGGTGGAAGGGAAGAGGGCAGAGGGGTCTTTGCTTTCCCCATAGGGGACCACATTCCCTTCATATGAGGTCTCAGAGTGAGTGACCAGCCCAGCAGCCTCTTCCTTTAACCCTTCCTAGACATGCGTAGCCTAAGCAGGTGACCCCCAATCCCCGGGCACATGGCCCATTTCCCTCCACCCTTCTCTGCAGGTCCTAAGTGGCAGGGGAGCCCCTAGGGGAGCTGGGGGACAGCAGGCTCTTTGAGCTTTCATTCTATCCTTGGACACAGTCCTCCTCTCAGATGTTTCCTTGTCCAGGGGGCTTTGCTCAACCCCTAGCTGCTGCCTCAGAGCATTCATATCCTAGTGCAGCAGAGCCGACAGCTGAGGTGAGTTGGCAGGGGAGCAGCCTGAGGGATACTCTTCGATCTGCTTTCAGAATGCATCTCCAGTGAGAACACCTTCAGCTGGAGCATCTCCAGCCCAGGCATCTCCAGCTGGGACACCTCCAGGCCGGGCATCTCCAGCCCAGGCATCTCCAGCTGGGACACCTCCAGGCCGGGCATCTCCAGCCCAGGCATCTCCAGCTGGGACACCTCCAGGCCGGGCATCTCCAGCCCAGGCATCTCCAGCCCGAGCATCACCAGCCCAGGCATCGCCAGCCCAGGCACCTCCAGTCCGGGCATCTCCAGCCCAAGTATCTCCAGTCAGGGCATCTCCAGCCAGGGCATCTCCGGCTCGGTCCTCACCTTCCAGGTCCTCATCCGGCAGGTCATCATCTGCCAGGTCAGCCTCCGTGACAACCTCCCCAACCAGAGTGTACCTTGTTAGAGCAACACCAGTGGGGGCTGTACCCATCCGATCATCTCCTGCCAGGTCAGCACCAGCTGCCAGGGCCACCAGGGAGAGCCCAGGTAAGGGGGACGCTGCAGGGAAGACAGGAGAGATGGGAAGCAGCCCATGGGCAGGGAGGAAATCTCAGAGCCAGTGTGCTCTGCTCTCATCGCAGACAATGATGTGGGGAAGGGGAGGCAGCGGGGTGGGCAGTGAGGGACTTGGGGGCAGGGGCAAAAAGGAAACATTTTTGTGAAATGTGAAAATCTGAGACAGTGGAAAATTAGGCGCGAAGCGGGGTAGGTGATAAGAAGCCAGGACTAACAAAGCAGCGTGTCACCCTGGAGTCTGCACAACCCAGGTCAGAGCACTGGTTTCAGTAGCAAGGTCCCCCAGTTAGTCACAGGGTTCTCTCCTTGTGCTGTCCTGTGGGTCTGCCTAAGAAGCTGGGGTCTGCAGTGGAACAAGGTCATGATCAGCGGGCCCATCTGTGGGTGGGCAGGGAAAAGGAGATTCTGACCAGGTGTTCAAGTCCATCCCCAGTCTTCCAAATTGTGGGTTGCATGGTTCACCTATTAGGGAGTCAGAGAGGTCGAATAGGCCTTGGGGACTGGGTCCGCCCTTAAGGAATCAGTGCTTCTGCCCGCCCCAGTGCTGCCCTCCTCCCATCCTAGAATTCAGACTTTCCCCACCACCACAGTACACACAGGCCTGGATGATACGTGGCTTTGGAGGACCACTCGAAGTTTGGGGCCCATCCCACAGCCTGGTCCTCTCCAGGGTGGGTGAGGTGCTTTGGTATCAGACCCACTGCATTGGAATCCCAACTCTGCCACTAACTCACCAAGTAACCCCGGGCAAGTGATTTCACGTCCATGAGCCTCAGTTTCCCCATCTATACAATGGGCCTAATAAGACTCTGCTCATGAGGTTGCCGTGAGAATTAAGAGAACACAGGCAAAGTGCCTGGCTGGCCCAGAGAAGAGCCCAGTAAAAGACAGCTGCTGGTGCCAGGCAGGGTGAGCTCAGTTTTTGCATTTTCAGATGGGACAAAATTCATTCATTTATTCCATTGACCTTGTGCCCCATCAAATCTCATTCCAACTTCTGGGGTGGAGTGATCCTCACGGGGCCCTCCTGGGCCACAGCCTTGCTTCCCCCACCCTCTCCACCTCGTCGGACTCCTCTCCAGCCTCACCTTCCCCTGCTGCCGCCCTGCTCCTAGGTACGAGCCTGCCCAAGTTCACCTGGCGGGAGGGCCAGAAGCGGCTGCCGCTCATCGGGTGCGTGCTCCTCCTCATTGCCCTGGTGGTTTCGCTCATCATCCTCTGTGAGTTGAACGGAGGGTGCAGGGGTGGGTTCCGGGCACTGCCAGGCAGAGTGGGACCCAGGGATGGGGGCAGGCAGGGGGGACAGGTATAGGGACCACCCACTCACCCGCTACCGTGTCTGGAGAGGGACACTCTTGCAAATGGCCTTGGACTGTGCTGCCTCCAGGACCCTGTGGGGCATCCAGGTTAAGAGTGTAGAAGCCAGAGGAACCTGAACTTGGGTCTCATCTGTGCCACTTACTCTGCAGCTTACTTGGGCTGGTTAGTTAACCACTCTGAGCTCAGTTTCTGCATCTTCAGATGGGACAAAATTCATTCGCCCATTTCATTACTATGTGCCCCATAAGATCTCATTCCAACCTCACTAGATTATGAGGAATAAATCAGACAACAGCACAATTCCTGCAACAAAATCCACAAATGCTAGCTATTAAAAAAACACACATGAAAACACTGATTGGAAAAAGTCTGTCAAGGATATTCAGTCAATGGGATGATGTGTTCAGCATTCAGGGGTTCAGGCCCCCTCAATTTCCCCATTCTCTTCCCCATCATCTTCAAAGATACCCAGGCATGCCCCAGGGCTCTCTGCTCAGGGGTCCACTATGAGCCCAGCACAGTGGGAAACTTTAGGCAGCGCAAATGTGCATGTACATTATTCTGTCCTGTCCTCAGGGAGATTACAGTCTCCTGGGGGAATAGCTGGAAATTTTGAAGGGCAAATGCATTTGAGTGTGACTATGAGGAGGGGACAACTGTGTGGGCTGGATGCAGGGGATAGCTTCTTATGGCTGTGGGGCCAGATGAAGACCTGGAAGGTGGGACAGCAATTATGCCCAGCAGGGCATCCGAGCGAATGAGCAGCCACAGAAAATGTGGGAAGCCAGGTGGCAACGACAGCATGGGGGAGAGGAAGGGACCTGCCTAACCAGAGTGGAGAAGGAACAGTCAGAGACCTGTGGCCGTCTGCTCGGTTCAGCAAGGCTGGGCCCTGCTGTAGAGAGCTTTAAACGCCAGGCCAAAGAGTAAGGATTCTGTGAAAGAGGCAGCACCAGTGGTGAAGGGTGGAGTGGACCAGCGCGTGGAAACGTCTGCTGGCAGGGCTGTTGAAGGGGATTCTGAGGGAGGGGCAGTGTGCTGGCAGAGCAGGCTTTAGTGCCACACAGGCCCTGGCTTTGCCACCGACCAGCTGTGTGAATTCGACAAGTCCATTAACATTCTGAGCCTCAGTTTCCCCACCTGTCTGGGTGGGGTGATCACTGTCATAATGCACATAAAGGCCTCAGCATGGTGCCTGCTGTGACTTACTGCCCTGCCCTCCCTCCCTTTCCCACCACAGAGCACCTCGCTCCATGAAAGCCATGGGAATGACCCGTGTAGGGGCGAGATGGCACCCATGGGTGGGCTCACAGAATAGAACTAAAGCTCTCAGCGTGGTTTCACAGCATTTCCTGAAGTCCCCATAAGCTCTGCCAGGGAGGCCTCTAACTTCCAGCGCTAGGGAAGTGGCTTGACTTCTGCAGGTCACCGAGCAGCTACCTGGTGGGGTCAGGACTAGAGCCCAGGCCTCCCGACTCCCTACCCGGCCCAGCACCCTCTCCACTACACATCCACGTGGGGCTCCATGAGCACTCCAAGGGAGACTGCCCAGGCTTCTCTGGGGGTTGAGTGCCCAGGATGTGGGAAGAAGACCAGGGCACAGAGAGGAGGGGCCAGCCCAAGAGATTAGGAGGGATTTGTGTCGGGACCTGGACGGAGCAGTCACACACGGGCGGACTTTACCCTGGGTGACAGAGAGCACAGTGGGCCCTGGAGGAGAAGCAAGGGGTGGCGCTGAGGAGCTGGTGGAGGAGGAGAGGCGGGGTGAGAAATTAGAACCTGGATCTATGAGGCAGCCAACGGGAGGTGCCTCCAGGCAGGAGGGCCCACCGCCCCTGGTTTGGAAAGAGATTGCCGTTAGAGAGGGAGGAAGTCGTGAAGCAGATTTGCACATATGGCTTGTAAAACTGTTTTCTTTTAGCTCTAACTTGTATATGTGGGAATCAGCCACCTAGAATTGCTGATTGAATGAAAAGACATTTAAAGGCATAAAGACAAGTCATGGGGAAAGAACTGAGCATAGGGGTGTCCCTTGTGCAGGGGAGAGGGAGAAGGAAAAACCCAGGAGCTTCTGAGACTGGAAGGATGGTCGCCTTTGAGAACAGACAGACAGTAGTTGCGTGTGTGACTGTGAGGACAGAAATTTATCTGCTGTGACCCTGTGGAGCACAGAGAAGATGGGACGGCAGAGGGGTTCTGAGAGGGAAGCTCTGGGACACTGGAGGAGGTGGTTTCTCTGGCCACTGTGTTTGCCAGCATGTAGGGAGGGGAGTTCCCAAGGTGGTCCCCATCTCCATAGCACTCTCTCTCTCTCTTTCTCTCTCTCTCTGGGTGGCTGGCTGCTCGAATCTGCCTGGTGCTGCCATGCTTGCAGGAGCTTTCTGGAGCATTCCGGAGCATTCCTGAGCAGCCTTTCTCTCCATACAGATGGGGGACGAGAGCCCCAGAGTTCAAGAGGGATTGCAGGTCGGTGTCTCAGAACCCCCAGGGCCTTGGGCTGCTCAGTATCTCATCTCTGTGGACTTGGTCGTGACCCAGCTGTCTGCTTCTTTTTCTCTAGTTCAGTTCTGGCGGGGCCACACAGGGATCAGGTACAAAGAGCAGAGGGAGAGCTGTCCCAAGCATGCTGTTCGCTGTGACGGGGTGGTGGACTGCAAGCTGAAGAGTGATGAGCTGGGCTGCGGTAAGGGGGCTGGGTGCGGGCGAGCGTGTGCCTGTGCGTGTGTGTGTGTACATGTGCATGTGTTTGTGTGCCTGTTTGTATATATGTGTGTGTAGGCATGCCTGTGTGTGTATATGTGTGTGTGTGCGTGCATGTGTGTGTATGTGCGTGTTTGTGTGTGTGCATGTATGTATGTGGGCATGTGTGCGTGTATGTAATCCAGACCCAACGATTCCCTGTCCATTGCCTCCCATTTGAGCTGATACACAGTTTGCACCAGTCTGTAGCACTCTGGTGACTTTGCCTTGGCTCTGTCCATGCTAGGCATCCTGGGCTTCTGAGTACTGGTTGACCCCCCATGACCCAGGCCACGTTCCTGGACTTTTCCCAGGCCTCAGCAACGAATGCTGTCAGGACAGGTGCTTCTCAGAGCCTCACTCAGCTCATCCAAGAGCTTGATGCTTCCTAGGTGCTGAGGACCTGCTCTGCCTTTTTCTTGCCCTGCAGTGAGATTTGACTGGGACAAGTCTCTGCTTAAAATCTACTCTGGGTCCTCCCATCAGTGGCTTCCCATCTGTAGCAGCAACTGGAATGACTCCTACTCAGAGAAGACCTGCCAGCAGCTGGGCTTCGAGAGGTAACCCCCAACCCGGCCCCAGAGTCCAGGCTTCAGGGATGCCTCAGGCTCTTCATAGGGCCTCTCAAGCATGTTGCAGAAACGTTGTATTAAAAAGACCCTTGGGGACCAGGGCTGATCTCACTGGTTCTGGACACCCTCAAGGTATTCAGAGTCAGAAGCCCTGAGATCCTCTGAGTCTGGAGCAAATTGTTTTCATGAGGCCAACATAGTGATGTATAGATCTGCAATAGTATCGGACTCCTAGATGGTTCTTTGCCTCAAAGCACCCTGACATCCATTATCACATTCACCATCGCGGTGGTGGCCCTATGCCTTGGGTAGGCATTTGGGCAGATCTTTTCTTCTTATATTAGGGAACTAGAAGCTCGGGTTGTGGAAAGCCCTTCAGTGGACCTCGAGCTATAGCTACCGTGGCTTGAGCCAGACCTCATCAAACGGAGAATGAAATGGGCCAGGTGAGGCCAGGCAGAATCATAAGGATCTTTGGCTCTAAAGATTTTAAACAAATCAGGCAGTGTTGACAGGTAGAGGAAGGAGTAGGTGAGCAATGACTTTCCACTTTGAAGAAGTGCCTGATTTTCAGCCCAGACACACATCTCCATCCTCCCTCTTGGACTGAGTTTTCAAGATGGGTAGTTTGGGGTTTGTCAGTGTGTGTGAGGTCGTGGGGAGAAGAGTTTAAGATCTCACTGTGGGTTCTCTACAGAAGAAGCACCAAAAACACCTGGGGTGGGGGGTTAGGATTTAGAACTAGTTCTCTACCCCACCCCAGCCTGTCCAGATCCACAAAAGCGGGATCAGAGTAATCCAGATGGAAGACCATGGGCATCTTTTATCCACAAGTTGTGTGTGTGGCCTTATGCAAGCCTGAACCTCCCTTGGGCATTCAGGTCTTTGAACACCACTTATTCAAAGAATATTCATTGAGCTTTTATTATGTGTTACATACTGTGTAGTACCTGGACACAAAGGATTAAGACAGGAGCCCAGGCTTGAAGGACCTCTAGTGTGGCTCAGTGAGACAGTAACCAATAACCACAGTATGATGTGATGTGTAATGATAAGGATGTGTGTGAAGCACCAAGGGCACACAATGGAGAGGGTGCCTAACTGCACTGGTGGAGAGAGCAGAGAAGGGAGGAACGGGCCCTCTGGGTAGAGGAGCTACATATGCAAAGTGTCATGCCAGGGTGTCACGAAGGGGTGTACCATGTTCTAGAAATATACATAAATTCCACGTAGAGAGTAGAACACATTAGAATCACCTGCCATGCTTGTGAAAATGCATCTTGGAATCAGAATCTCTGGGATGAGGACTTAAAACCTGCTCAGCAAACATCCCAAGGTGATTCTTAGGCACACTGTGTTCTGAGATCCACGAGGCTTGCCCCGAGGTTGTCACGCTTTAATGTACAGCTCAGTAACCTGGGATTCTTTAAAATGCAGACTCTGATTCAGTAGGTCTGGAGGGTGCTGCTGCTGCTTATTCATAGATCGCAGTTTGGATAGAAAAGGGCTAGATTGGTGTTTGTCAAACTTGAGTGTGCATCAGCATCACTAGAGAACCTGTTAGAACGATGATCGCTGGGCCCACACCCAGTTTCTGATTCAGAAGCATTGCTAATATTAATAACTTCCCAGGCAATGGTAACACTACCAGTCTACACTCTGAGAAACGCTGGGTAGTGCATAGGGCTGGGGGTCTTGGAGGGGAGTTGGGGGAGATGGGGGCAGTGGTGGAATATGTGGGTGGGGCTGCACTTTATCGGGCCTTGACTGCTGCTTGGAGGAGTTGGCCACCATTCAGACCATCACAGTCTGGCCTCTGTCAGCAGAGCTGGTGGGGCTCTAAGCCTACTGGAGGACTTGGGATGACCCTGTCTCCAGGGGACTCATTCTTCTCCCCTCTCCTCCCTTGTAGTGCTTACCGGACAACAGAGGTTGCCCACAGGGATTTTGCCAACAGCTTCTCAATCTCGAGATACAACTCCACCATCCAGGAAAGCCTCCACAGGTATGGTGGGGCAGGCAGGCTGCCTGTTTGTGAGCGGGGGAAGGAGCGGGTGGGAGGGGGTCTTTGAGTCAGGGAGCCCCCTTCCCTGGCTTTTCTGGGATCCAGCCTCCAGGAGTCCACCATGAGTGTTCAGGGGCATCTCGGAAACAGCCCTTATTCACCAAACTGCCTCCTGACTTAAAAATTACTGTTTGAGGCTCAGTGCTGAGAGCAACTGGAGACCAGGGGTGCCCCTGAGAGTTTACCTGGTCGTCAGCGGCAATTCACGAACCTTGGGACCGCCAGTCAACCAGGTGTTTGGACTGAGAGCTGCTGCAGGGAGTGGACCTGGACTGGGGCGGGAGAAGCATCACTGGAGTTGGGGACAGGGTAGAGAAGCAGCAGTAGGGGACTGCCAGGTGCAGGCGTCAGGGACAGGGAGGGCCATGTGGGAAGCATCGGAGGTTTGGGGGCTCTGCCAGCTGGCATTGTTTGCCCTGCAGAGGGCAGAGAAGAAGCCAGGCTCCAAGAGAAGTAATGGTGAGGGAAGGGACGTGAATTTGCCGCATCTGGATGTGCTGCGTGGTTTCTGCATCTGCGTTGAGGAACTGTGTCAGAGGAGCACCAGGCCATCTGTTTAGCCGTGAAAAGATGCTGGGACAATGAAGTCCGAAGTTCAAAGAACATGGATCTGGGCCAATGTCTGCAATCTGCCACAAGAAAACTAGTTGAGGGGATGAGAGTGTTGATTTGCACTGAACCACCGCCATTCTGGACAAAGCACTGGAAGGGAGAGTGTCACACGTGAAGGAGAAGCTCAGAATCTCCTGCTTCCTGTGCAAAGGGTAGCTTCCTTGGAAACAGGATAGGAACTGAGCAGGAATCAATCAGGAAGGCTTCCTGGAGGAGGTAGCTAATATACCCTCCCACTTTCTGTGTCTCCTCCTGCAGGTCTGAATGCCCTTCCCAGCGGTATATCTCTCTCCAGTGTTCCCGTAAGATATTCTTCTTCTTGGATTGTGGCCAATGTCGTGTGGGAGTAAAGGGCAGAGGGGCAGAACTCCTCCAAGGGAGGTGTTTGGCACTGGGGTTTAAGTCAGGAACAGTGTCTTAGTCAGCAGGCCTGCCTCAGGGCTGGAGTCCCTGTAAGGCACCGGTACACCCAGGATAACATTTCCCCTTCTCCTGACTCTGGCAGGGGCTCAGCCCAGCAACCTCTTATTCCAAGGAAGCGGTCTGAGTCTCCCGTGCATCGGGGGAAGTGTATTCTTCCTATGTTTAGAAACAATAGAGACCCCCATTATAATGCTTGTCAATTCAGGGTGACGTTAGAACTGGTCTGCGTTCCTGTGCTCCTAATGGCAGTCCTGGGACTTACCATCACCATCCCAATGCCTGGCACAATGCCCAAAGCTTGGGACACTTAGAAAGCATTTGTCAAATCAATGAAAGAATGAGTGAAGGAGAAGAAAGAAGAACCTGCCTGGGGTCAAACTTCCCACTGAATGATCCCAGAAAGCCACCCCACCATGTGGTGGCAATGATCTCACGGGAACTGCTGTGTGTAGCAGATAAGGGAGCAAAGCCCATCCATGGGAGGGTGGGTGCCCTTCAGGACGGCGCTGCCTGAGCCTGTCCTGGCCCTGGGAGCATGGCAGAGGCATTCTGATCAGGAGCTCGGAAAGAACCCTGGGAAAAGCAGGGTTCACAGTACGTCTACTCCTTCTCCCCAGACTGCGGACTGAGGGCCATGACCGGGAGGATCGTGGGAGGCGCGCTGGCCTCGGAGAGCAAGTGGCCTTGGCAAGTGAGTCTGCACTTCGGCACCACCCACATCTGTGGAGGCACGCTCATTGACGCCCAGTGGGTGCTCACTGCCGCCCACTGCTTCTTCGTGTAAGTGCCTGAGAGGCAGGTGATTTGACACTGCCCAGGGTCAGGGACCGCCAGGAAGGGCTGGCTGCAGACTGACTTCTTCGTGGAGGAGGACTCTGGGTGTGAGTCCAGCCCCCATGGGCCAGTTGGCACTGGTGTAGCTTGCGTGTTCACTTGGTCCTGAGAGTATGGATCGGGGGTGTTTGTTCTGAGCTAGGCCCAAGGATGAGAAAGTCCCATTGATGGCCCCAAGGGAGAGAGGCACGCAGGAAGAGGGACTAGGAGCCGACCCCTGCAGAACAGGGTGAAATGCAAAAGGCTTTGGGTTTGTTGCTGCTTCCTGCAACTGGAACTCATAGCAGAGGAGCCCCTAGTTATCCAAGAAATTGAGGGCTAGGGAGTGCAGGGAGAGCACTGTATCAGCTTCTAACAGTCACCAGCTGACCTAGTGTCTGGGGGCCCACAGCCCAGGCTGGTGGGCAGGAAAGAGCTCTGAGACCAGGCCTCAGGGGCACTGGCCTCTCTAATAATGAGTTCAGCATGTTACTTTGTCCTGCTGAGTATTTGCTGAGGGTAATAATACTGAGATCTTATCAGTACAAGCCCTTGACCCTGCCCGGTGAGTGAATCTGTGCCCCCTATCCCTAGTCCCAGCACCTTCTGCAGCCCTGTGACTTGCCAGCATCTGTCAGTTCACATCGAGGCCCCAGAGCTTCAGCATGGCAAAAGTCAAAGACTCTTATTTGATCCTTGGTGACTTGCAGAGGAGATAGTGGGGGGTGAGTGCCACACAGAGGTCTTACTCATCATTCCCTCTTTATTACTGTAAGGTGCAGAGCTGCAAGCTCATAATTTTTGAGGGGCTGTGGGGGATTGCTTTGGCTCCAGGGATAAGATAGAGGGTTCCCTCCAGAGGTCATTTTATCCATCCTCCTGCCTCCAAGCTGGTGCTCTGACTGTGGCTCCTGTAGGTAGCAGATGCTGCCAGTGAACGCTGCCAGGCAGGTACTGGACCATGCTCCTTTGTGGCTCTTGCAGGACCCGGGAGAAGGTCCTGGAGGGCTGGAAGGTGTATGCAGGCACCAGCAACCTGCACCAGTTGCCTGAGGCAGTCTCCATCGCCGAGATCATCATCAACAGCAACTACACCGACGAGGAGGACGACTATGACATCGCCCTCATGCGGCTGTCCAAGCCCCTGACCCTGTCCGGTGAGTGAATCTGCACTCCCCGCTCTCCTGTCCCCCAGCCCCAGCACCCTCTGCAGCCCTCGCGCTTGCCAGCATCTGTCAACTCATATCTGGGCTCCAAAGCTTCTGCATGGCAGAAGTCAAGACTCTTAAAGATCCTTACATGGAACACTTCTGTTGTATAATTAGGGAAACTGAAGCCCAGGGGCTATAAATAACTTTGCTCCAAATGATACATCTCACATTACAAATTGATGACAGAGTCAGGGCTTGGGTACTGATCTTAATCAATAGATTGAATTCTTTCACTGGTATTAACTGAGCACCTAGAGGCCGAACACTATGGTAGGCATTTTACACATAGGATTTCATTTACTCTTCACAACCAACCCTGTGGAGCAGGTACTATTATTAACTTCATTTGACATATGAGGAAATGGAACTTTACAGAGAGATAATTACCCGAGGCCACAAGTAATAGGTGGTAGCTCTGGGACTGGAACTAGGTCGATCTGATTCCCAAGCAATGCTCTCCCCACCTGGCTCTAGACTGGCAAATTGCTTACCCTGCAGTCGAGAACATAAGCTGAGCACACACTCAAACAGCTAATTGCTACAACGTTGTTGCTACGGACCAAATGAGGCTACACAAAGGAAATGCAGAGGTTCTCAGATGATCACTGTGGACAGGGGACCTCAAAGAAGACTTCATTCATTCATTCATCCATTCACTCATCTGTTCACTTATCAAATACTATGCGTCTACTATATTGTCAGTCCTATAGTACAGTTGCAAATAGAAATAAAATGTGTGACATACACCAAGACGACCAGTAGAGGTCAATTATGCGATGTTTTGGGTGAGCGGGGAGCTATGGTGGCACAGGCGGGAGCAACTAATCATCCTGGGGAAGCTCAGCAGAGGAAGGATAGTCAAGGTGGGTCCTGAAAAGATTGGAGAAGACAGGTAATGGAGGTTCAGGGAGGACCCTGAAGAATGGAGCCAGAGCCCCCTGGCATAAGCAGTTTTACAGGTGGGAAAGGGAGGAGGAGTACCAGGACTTCTGGAAGCCTTGGAGGACTCTCTGGTTAGTCTAGCCATTCTCGTGCTCTGAGCTTGGGAGCTGGTGTTTCCTCGCACATTAATTGTGGAGGCGGTGTCTATCACGAGTCAGAGCAGTTAGATCATCAGAATGGGGTGAGGAGGAGGATCCCTGGGAAGAGCTCGGTTGGGCAGCGCTAGCCCAGAACCACGCCCACGCAGCGTCACTCCCACTCGTAGCCACGCCCTGACACGACACGCCCACCAGCCCTTCTGCAACTCCAGCCTTGTCTGTGGAGCCCAGGGCTGAGGTGAGGGATGCCCGCTGCCCCCTGCCCTGCCGCTCAGCACACAGGAAGAGCACAGTCTGCAGGACCAGAGCAGGCCTTCTCACCTTGTCAAACCCGGGCTATATTTGGCTAAACATCCAAATCTTACCTCTCACCCACCCTCCACTCCTTAATATTATTTGGAATTCCAAAACTAAATAATTTCTAAAACCGAATGAAGGCTATTCTCACATTGCATATGCTTTTCAAATAGACTCTGATAGGCTTTTGGGCAGGAAGCAGACCCTTAGTCTGAGAATCACAGCTCAGATGTATGTAGTCCTGTGGCCAGAACATGTGCCCTGATGTTTGGTTTAGAAATCAGTGCAGATTTTCTTAAACTCATTTGGCAGGTAGAGCACTAGAAGTCACAGTACTTTCGTTTGTGAAAGTTCACTGGTAAATTTAATTTCCCCATAAAAAACAGTGAAATATATAACAATGGATCATATATCAGTGTTACATGTTTTTAAAACTTTACATCTCAAAAAGGGGCAGAGAAAAGAAATACTATTTTGCATTTTTGTTAATAATGCATGCTATTCCTTCATCTATTTTTTGTTTGCTCTCTAGCAGACAAAACTAGGGTAGACACCAATGTTTAAAGCCTAATTCCAATTTATGGGAGAAAAATTTAAAATTATCCTTCCCATCTACCCTTCCTGCCTTCTCTCTCTCTCTCTCTTTTTAAACATTTAGTGAGCACTGAATATGTGACAGGCATTATCTTAGGTGCAGAATACTGCAGTGAATATAACAAATGATTGAGAATACTGCAAACATTCTATCAACTAGTATTTTCCTCCTGCAAACTCAGGTGTGTTGGTCAATGCCCTGGTCGCCCTAGGGACACCAGTCCTCAGAGCTTATGAAGTGATACATAACAGTGACTTCTAAATATAATATTTCCGAGTGTGGGATCAAGTTAGCAGGAATTCTGTGGTCTGTGTCTCTAGGAATGTGTTTCTTGTTTGGAGAGATTTCTTACCTTGTGCTGGGCAAACATTTGGAGGGAGAGCCACAGGCCCTGGACAACCAGTGGGTACCCTCGCCAGACCAGGCTGGACATACCACTGAGATGCAACGGTCATAATATCTGGGTCTTAGCCTGCTGCTGTTCCTTGTTCTAATGGAAAGACATGGAAGAGGCTCTGCCGGGAGAGACCCTCTTTGTGGGGAGAGACCCTCAGCTGCCCAGTATCAGCTTGTACAAGGGAGCTTCCAAGGCGTATGCATCTGACCACAGGGCAACCACTGAAATCAGAATGGCTTTCAGCCTCTGGTAGCCCCCAAAGGCTGGTGGGTTTTGATAAAGTGATCGAGTTTCATGTCTGGTCAGTCCAAGGTTCTGGAGGATTCACCACTCTAGAGTCAAGGATGAATGTTCTAGGAGCCTCCTCCTTGCCCCCAGAGTGACTCTGCTCCTTCTTCCTCCCCCTACTGAAAGTCTCAGCCTTGTTCCTTCACTGACATCTGGAGGTCTTGTTGCAGCTCACATCCACCCTGCTTGCCTCCCCATGCATGGACAGACCTTTAGCCTCAATGAGACCTGCTGGATCACAGGCTTTGGCAAGACCAGAGAGACAGATGGTAAGCGGCAAAGATGCTTGGTTGTATGTGTGTATTCATGTGCATGTGTGTGTATACGTGAGTGCGTGTAAGCAATGTGTCTGGGTATACAGATGAGGGCCTATGTCGATGAGAGTTTGGGTATACAGATTCATGGGCCTGGGTGTGAATATGTGTGTATAGACACCTGAGTATATGCCGGTGGGGTCGCTGTGACAATGCCTTCCGGTCAAGACCACCTGGAAAACTGCTGTGGTTGAACCAGTTGAGTTCATTGCTCATTGCAGTGAGAGAGAGCACACCATGAAGAACCATGGAGCATCTCAGCAACAGCGTGTCAGAGAGGACTGCTCATAGGATTTAGGTGGCTTGGGGAGGGTTCAAAGACGTAGGACTTTTCTCTAAATTGGATGGTGTCAGGAAGCAGGGGTTACTCTGTGACGGGGAAGCTTAATAACCTTATCTAGAGGCCGGGCACGGTAGCTTGCACCTGTAGTCCCAGCACTTTGGGAAGCCAAGGTTGGAGAATCACTTGAGCCCAGGAGTTCAAGACCAGCCTGGGCATCACAGCAAAACCCCATCTCTACAAAAAATAGAAAAATTAGCTGAACATGGTGGTGTGTGCCTGTAGTCCCAGCTACGAGAGGGGCTGAGGCAAGCGGATCACCTGATCCCAGGGAGGTTGAGGCTGCAGTGAGCCATGATCATGCCACTGCACTCTAGCCTGGGCGACAGAGTGAAACCCGTCTCAATTAAAAAAAAAAAATTATCTAGGAGCTGTAAGGGGTAAGGAAGCAGCAGTCACTCATATTGGCCAGGAGAGGGGGATGTTTGGTACTGTTGGGATTTGCAGATGCCCTTGTCTTTGGCCTTAAACAAGATGATGAAGTGGTCTTGTTTTCACGTCGTCCCAATCACAGAGTGCCTTGTCCTGTGAGATGGCTTACTTTGAGCAGGATGACCCCGCAGTTAGACTCAGGGCACTGCCATGCGTTGGGACCGCTTTTCCCTCCCTCCGTGAGGCAAAGCGATGACTGATCTGGGCACAGCCTTCTCGTCTTGTCTCCATACTCTACTAGCTGTGTGACTGTGGGCAGGTCACTTCTCCAGCCCCAGGCTTCCCCACCTGTAAATGGATTAATGCCACCTGCTCTCTTTAGGGCACATAGCTTCCAAAAACAAACAAAGCCATGTATCTGAGGGTGCTTTAAACGTAGGCAAGTGCTGTGCAACATGTCGTGTAGCCTGATAGGCTTGTGAGTGTGTCTGTGTACATGAATGTCTCTGTCTCACGTGCAGCGAGCTGTGTCTTGTGTGAGGGCATGTGTGCCAATATGCCCTGGGTGTCCAACCACAGAGGGCCTCCCTTGGGTCGGAGCCAGGCACAGGCATGGCACCCTCCATTCCCAGGAGGCTGTGATTCTAGGTCTTGGGGTGGCAGCTGGACCACCAGGAAGCTATCCAGAATCTCACAGGCTTTCCATCCTCTGTCTCCTCCACCCCACTTCACTGAAGACAAGACATCCCCCTTCCTCCGGGAGGTGCAGGTCAATCTCATCGACTTCAAGAAATGCAATGACTACTTGGTCTATGATAGTTACCTTACTCCGAGGATGATGTGTGCTGGGGACCTTCGTGGGGGCAGAGACTCCTGCCAGGTGAGGGTACCTGTGGGTGGGGCTCAGGTCCCAGCACCCTGGGGATGGGGGAGGCTGGGGTGTTGGGGCTGATGTGGGAATTGGGACCCCACCCTTTTCTGCTCACGGACTACCTGTCCCATCCTGCACATGTGCCCCCTCTCCCCTGTAGGGAGACAGTGGGGGGCCTCTTGTCTGCGAGCAGAACAACCGCTGGTACCTGGCAGGTGTCACCAGCTGGGGTACAGGCTGTGGCCAGAGAAACAAACCCGGTGTGTACACCAAAGTGACAGAAGTTCTTCCCTGGATTTACAGCAAGATGGAGGTAAGATCCCTGCACCAGGACACTGCACCCAGCAGACTGGGAACTTCGTAAGGTGGGGACCCTGGAGGAGCACCCAGGGTGTAGGCAGAGATCCCCTCAGCAGTCTCATATTCGGGGGTGTTCTGGACAGGGTCAAACGTGATGCCTGGGGTCAATCCCAGCTGCCTGTGTTTCTTTCCCTGCTTTTCTTCCCTCAGAACAGAGCTCAGAGGGTTGCAAAAGGGTGGGCCTAGAGGCTGGGCAGGCAGTTGCTAGGCAGATATTCCCCCAGAAGTGATTTTTTGTGTCAGGTTGCAATGGACTTTGAAAACGTTTCAGTTTCTGCAGAGGATTTTGTGATAGTTTTTGTTATCAAGCATTTATGCATGGGAACCCGTTCTTCATGGCCTTTCCCAGCTCTGTTTGTTGGAGTCTTTTTTATTTTCTTTTTGTTGTCGTCGTCTTTTTTAAAAAACACAAGGGACTTCATTTTGACTCTGACAACTTTCACAGCTGTCACCAGAATGCTCCCTGAGAACTACAATTCTTTCCCTTTCCCACTTAAAATATTTCAACAGCACCTCACTACTATCGTAAAAGAGTATAAAGTAATAAAATAAAAACTTCTTTTATGTTTTTTGACTTGCTTTAACCTATGTCCAGCCTCAGAAGTCATTGTTCAGGTCAAACTGAACCACAAACTCTTTGGTGTGTGCCTTACCTTGCCCTTGGCCTTTGGAATACTTGATCCACCCTAGAGAGTCCCCTCTCCCACTTCCACCCTCTCATCTTCCATTTTTCTTACTGAAGAACTCTGACTGATCTATCAAAATCAGCCATTTACAACTCCTGGAATATCCTCAGTATTTACTATGTATTGTTATAAATGAAGGATGAATGAATAAATAAATGTAAAGAATAAAAGGTGGGCCTAACCTCGGTGCCAGCCCCAGTGCCACTCTCCTCTCCCAGGGATGACCGAGGTGTGAGTTCACACAGGCCACTGGGGGTGGAGTGATGGGAGGCCTCCCTCCACGGCAGGAATTTGGGCATCAGGAACCAGGGATCTGCCTGCAACTCTGCTGACCCAGTTGAGACCCTGCCTTCTCTGGGCCTTCAGCCTTTAGCTGTAAAGCAGGGGTTGCTCTGCCAGCCCTCCCCTTCTCTGCCTGGGGAACAGGGGAGGGCTCACACAAGTGGAGCAGGGAAGGCTCCAGAAATCTAGTGCAGAGAGGCCCTCCAAGCCTGCATCCATCCTTTCCTTTTACTGTCCCTCCTTGGAGAGGCAATGCCAGGTGACAGCTGGGCTAAATTAGAGGTTCTGAACCCCAACCTTGGGCTTCTGCGCTCCCCACCCAGCCCACCATCACCTTCTTCTCCCGTTCTCTTCCTCAGAGCGAGGTGCGATTTGGAAAATCCTAACCAGCTGGCCTCCTGCTCTGCACAGCACCAGCTGCTGTGAAGACTCTGGCTACAGTGACTGGCCATGTGTGGCATCATCTGGGCTAATGGCCACCAGGCACCATCGGACTCTCACCTCCACTGTCTGCTCTGTGTGTGTGTGTGTGTGTGTGTGTGTGTGTGTATGTACATAGTGTGCATTACCACTCTCGAGTTTTTCAGAAACCAGCAGAGCTGTCAACTCTTCTCAAAATCCCAGGCTGGAAATTACCTGGAGACAAGAGCCTGAGTACTGTGGATGTTCCTACAGGGGTGTCCATAGATGGATGGAGGAGGTGGAGCCCAGAGCCCAAGGAAGGGCCTGGAATTCTTGCTTCTCTGACCCTCACTTACAGACTAGCCCAGTGTGGACAGATGCCAGCAACCCAGGTGACGCCATTGCTGTCCCGGGAAGGATCGCGGGTTTTGGTGGATGCAGCTTCCCCGTGCCTGGACTGTCTTCTGAGGAAAGCTGCTCCTGTTGTCGTTACGAGCATCGAGCCCTCACTCAGACCTCCTGCTGGAGCCGTATATGTCCGCAGCTGAGCTGTGCTATGGCTAACCAGGCTGACAACGGAGATGAGGATTCACTGTACTCATTTGGTCATAAGCTGCTGGGGCGGGTTTTATTTTATTTTATTTTTATATTTAAGAAATGAAAATACGGGTATTTTTAAAGATTCTCCAAAAACTCCAGGAGCCTTGACAGCTAGCATCAATCAGCCCAAGACCACCAGGGGACTCCTGGGAAGTGTCATATTTTAAGAGTCCTACAGAATATTTCTGGCCTCAAGGGACTGGATGAAGAGACTGGACTGAGTCCCCAGGATGGACATCTCCCAAGTCACTACAGCATCTGGAGCCCCTAGGAGATACTCAGGGAAGCAAATACTCTTTTGGACTGGCAAGCAAATCTGACATGACGAGGTCCACAAACTGTTTCTGCATCCAAGGGCCCTGACAAAGGCATGAAGAAACGGATGCTGTTCCTGCATAGGCTCCCAAGGGCCCCAGGGAGGTCCAGGTGGAGAGCATCTCTCATTCCCAGGGACTGTCCTGGGACTTTGGAATTTCTTCTCAGCTTTCTCTACCTTTCAATTTCTCAGTTGTTCCGGAAACATAATACTGACATAAAAACTGCCATGGAGAGAAACCTAACGTGGTCCCAGGCCCTCCAGGCAGCGCTTCTGAAGGATCCAAGTTGACCATGTTCCTGCAAATCATCAGTGTGCCTGGACTTACCAGTAAAAGCCTGGGCCTTCAGCAGCCTTTTCTCTGGGGCAGCTATTCCTCTGCCAGCCGTGCTCCCCTCACCTTCCTTGGGCCCGTCAGGGTCTTTTGTGGTGCTATGTTTCTCAGAGGCAGGATCCAAGCAGATCAACCCAGCCTAGCCCAGCTCAGGCAGGCCGTGGCCGCTCAAGGGAAAGACTGCCCCAGAAGAGCAGGCTGGAGAGGCTGGGCAGGGGCTCATGGGGCTAGGTACACTGGGGAATGTTAGCAAGACTGGCAAGGTGGCCACATTCCTGTCTGCAGCAGCCCCCAGTGATGGTCTTCAGCAATAAAAGTTGTGTGACCTGAGATATCTGTCTTTGGATGTTTTACTGGTACCCTAGGTAACAAATTGAGGTTGCCCACCCTAGTGCCCAGACACTCTTGGTTTTGGTTCTTGGTTTTGGTTCCTCGTCTCTGGGTTCTGCTCATTTAGCCATACATTCATGTATTCATCCATTCACCAACCACATCCGCACCTACTCTGTGCCGGGGACTCATACTAGGCCCAGAAGATACAAAGGGCATGACAGATCCTCAAGGAACTGGGTCATGACCCAATGTGATGGAAGCTGTGATTGAGTGTGGACACCATGCTTGGAACATGCTCAGAACAACCACCAGCCACACCTAGAGATGTCAAGGAAGCTTCTCAGAGGAGGTCAGGTTTGGAATAAACCTTCACAAAGCAGGTGGGGGCAGGGGAAGGGCACTCCAGGGCATGTTCTTACCCTCTTCCTCTTCCTCCACTTCTGCCTTTGCTGGCTCAACAACAGGTGTGTTGACAAGGAAGCCCCAAAGCTTACTCAGCTATTTCCAAGAGAATCAGATGGGTGGTCCCACTGGCCTCTTCTGAACAATCTACCCCTTCTTGCTTTGCACTTTTCCTGTGTTTGCCATATTGACCTCAAACATTATGAGCCCACTGGTGAATCCCCAGCTCCACCTCCATACCCCCATTCACCAGCGGGCTCATAGTCCCCAGCACATCAGCCACAAGCACAGAATTCTCTAGGTTTCCCCAAACGCATCCAGCCTCTGGACACCCTGAACTTGATTGCTTTAGTCTTTCATATCAATGCCAGGGAAAGTCCTTCTTTTGATTCCTTTCTTGCTCCATGTGCACAAGAAGGTATGGAGGAGGAGGCAGGTGCCACGCTTACTATATTCCTAGGAGGGGTGACACTGACTGTAATAGATCCCACAGTTTCTCACCATTTCAATGGTTTAACCTAATTGAAGTTTCTTTCGCATCCATGTAACAGTCCAGTAAGGGTGTTCTGATCAGAGGGAGACTTTCTTCCACAAGCTTTTTCCGTCTTGGGAGTTTGTCATCCACATTGTTGTCTAATTCTAGCCAGAAAGAAAATATAAAAAAGATTCATTCAGTCCTTAAGTGCTCTAGCCCAGAAGTCATTTCCACTGACATTTTATGGGTGCAGACATGTCGTATGTGTCATGTGGCACCATCTAGACAAAGTTCGGCTGGGAAAGGCAGTCGTTGGCAGATTCCCCTGCAGGAGACAGCACTCATTTCAGAAGACAACCAGCCATGTCCACTCACCGTAGGAAGGTGGCTGCATCCTCAGAAGCCTGGCCTGGGCAGAGACTTAGGGCTTAGGCCATTTCTGTTTCTTTCCCCTTAGAAAGCAGACACTTTCCCTTCTCTCTCAGGGGATTCCTAGGACATAAATTGATTGGCAGGCGTGTAAGGGTATGGGAACGGGACGGGGAAATAAGGTAGAGAAAAAGCAGGATCTGGATGGAAAAAGAAAAATACATTCCTTTGGCCCAGGATATCTATAGAGGCTACAAAAAATATAGATGGAGGGGGGAGATGGGGCATTCTAAACTGGCCCAGAATCTCCAGGGAATTGTGTGTGTGTTTTGGGCAGGGAGGGTGTTGCAGTGACATTGTCCTGTGTCCCTGGAGCCTAGGCACCTCCAAGTACCAGCCAAGTCTTCTGGCTTTGTCGACTCTATTGACTGCTGCATTTCCACATAATTTCCCTGGGAAAGGAGTGCCAAGTGAGTGTGCTGGGCAGGAGGAGGAGGAGGCTGTTGTGGGAAGAGATGATGGCTCTTTGCAGAAGGAGCCACTTACAGCCTAGCAGGTGTCCCAGCTGCCTCTGGGCTTTGGTTAGATTCCCAGGGACCATTCTTCCCCATAATCGCTTAGCTGTGGTCCTGATACAATTGGGTGGATATGGGGACACGCATATGGAGTCCCCATGAACGCCATGATGAGGATAATGATAGTAATAGCCAGCGTTTGCTAAACGTTTGCTGTGTGCCACATGCTGTGCTGGACACCTGATGTATATTATCTCCTGCCAGCACAAGAATCCCATGAAGTGGGCATTGTCATCATTCCTAATTTACAGATGAGGAAACAAAGGCCAAGATAAGTGAAATAAGCCTCCCAAACTGCACGACTGCTGCATGGCAGAGGTGGATTTGAATTCGGGCTCTGACATTCAGCTGCTCTTTTATACTCTGCACCAGAGTCAGGTGGAATCCTCCCAACTGGGACCTCATAGGCTCCGCTGTCTGGCTCTGCGTATCTTTCCAGGAGTGGCAGGGTGAGACAACTCCCCAGAGAAGGCTGGGCGCACCCATCAGAGTGTGGCATGACCAGAGGCTTAAACCATGCGGTTTCTGGAAACTTGGACAAGTGCATCATGAGTGGGAGGAAGCCGTTCTCCACCCTGGTCCCAAGTGGATAGTTTCTAGGAGGCTCTGTCAAGTCACAACAAGCTGTCACCCAGTACACCTCCAAGTCTCCTTGATGTAGGTGGATGACTCTGAAAGGAACATACCATTCATTCTCCATTTTCTGCGCACTGGCCCAGGCTTCCCGTCCCTAGGAAGGCTGCCACCCAATCCAGGAAGTAAGCGTGCTATACCGATCTTACAGTGGGTCCTCCCAGAGAACAGGGAGGACTGTGCTCAGGAGATAAACAGCCCTGGACCTTCCGGGACAGGAGGTCTTGTTAGCTGAGACCTCTAAGAAAGGTGAGGGCATGGCCTGGTCTATGGCCCTCCACTGCTCACTCCTGCCAATGGGACATGGGAGGTGGACATAACAGGAGGCCTTCTCTGTCCAAGCCCTGAGTCCCAGAAAAGGTTCTTTACTTTTCATACAAGGAAGGGTCTGGGAATCTGCTTTGAATAATTCCTTCTAATTACACTGTGTTGTAGCAGAGAGAGCTCTGGGAGTTGGAATCGAAGTACCTGGAGGTACAAATTCCAGCTCTACTACTTACTTAGCTATGTGGTCTTAGACAAACCATCCTCTCTGTTTCTTCATATGTAAAATGGGTGTATCCAGCCTACATTTGTTGTGAGATTAAATGGGATGATCCATATAAACATGCAGGGCAAAGTGATTGGCATATCATGACTTCTCTGCAGATGCTGAATTCGCAGTGAAAGGGTCAGATCCTTCACCCCCAGGCGCTTCATCAGACACATGACATGGGAGACAGAATTTTGGATAAATCTTCGAGTCCTAGGAAATTTGCAATGTCTCTCCATAAACTTTGTTCCTAGGCTTTTAGCAATGAACTGATCCTCCATGGAGGTGACGCTACCACCTAGGCCAGGTGGACATTCCCAGCTGGTGGTCCCTCTAAGTTGTGGTGCTCCATGACTTAGAGGAGCTCACCCTGTTCTCTCTTATCACTGACAGGGCCAGGAAAGCTGCCTGACCCTGGAAGAATTGTCCTCTGGGAGATGTTAATGTCCTGCCCTGGCAGCCTCAGACTGCTCAGCCAATAGAATCAGGCAACTCAGGGCTGTGAGCGGCATTCATCTTCAGACCCCACAACTCCTCAATCCACAGCCATCTCCTGCCCATCATACCAGTGTCTGGGAGACACTTCTTAGTCTTCATCTTCCTGGAACCCTTGCAGCATCTAACCATCGAGTGCCCCCTACTTTATGACATTGCCATGACCTCTGGGACATGGACTATCCCAGGTCCCCTTATTGCCCTCTGGCTGCTCTTTCTCAGTCTTCCACAGATTCTGAAATTGTGTTCCCAGGAGACGTCCCCAGCTCTCTTCTTTTCTCTTGGTAAATGGTAAATGCTAACCCTGGGCCATGTCATCTATTCCCAGGGTTTGCAACATACACCTATGGAGCCAGCAGGAATTTGCTCCATGTCACTAAAGAGTAAAAAATCTCACCTTTCTTTTTAAAATCAGATGAATCTGACTTTGAACTGCTGCAGCCTGGCTGAAAAACATCCCTTGTCATCTTCTTCCCCAGAAGAGCTTCTTGCCCATTGATCCCCAGGTTGGGTACTCCATCTGCAGCCCTTGTGGGTACCCCTCCCAGTACTGTACAGGTAAAGGGCATAGTTTCCAAACCTTTGTTCTCCGTGCCTTCACACTCAGGGATCTCACTGTCCCTGGGTCAGACTGAGGCTGCACCCCTATCTTCAACCCTCAAATCTTCTTCCCCTAGCAGGCAGTTCAGGCCTATCTCTTTTATGAACAGTGCACAAAGGCTTGTAAATTCTCTATGGGATCGAGGCCATTCCTTCCTGATAAGATCATGCCAGAAATCAGGATGAATATAGAATTCAGTAATTGTGCACACATTTTCATGTGAGCGTAAGTATTCATTCCTCTAGGATAAATTACTATCAGTGGGATTATTGTATCCTCTGGTAATTGTATGTTTAACCTCTTAAAAAACTGCCAGGCTTTTTCTAGAGTGGCTATACAATTTTTCATTCCTACCAACAATGTAAGCATTTCGTTTGTTCTGCATCCTCACCAGTATTGTCAGTATCTTTTTTTGTAGCCATTCTAATGGATGCAACAAGATACAATGCTATCTCTTTGTGGTTTTAATCTGCATTTCCCTAATAACTAATAATATTGAGAACCTTTTTATGTGTTTATTTGCCATCTGCATATCCTCTCTGGTGATGTATCTGTTCAAATATTTTACCAATTTCTTCATTGGGTTGTTTCTTATTGCTCAGTTTTGAGAGTTCTTTATATATTCTGGATACAGTTTTTGTTGGACATGTGATTTACAAATATTTTCTCACTTTGTGGCTTGTCTTTTCATTCTCCTAATTGTGTCCTTAACAGACCAAACATTTTTCATTTGGTAAAATTCAATTTATCAATTTTTTTCTTTTTAGATTGTGCTTTTGCTATTGTATCTAAGAACTCTTTGCCAAATCCAAACTCAGGAAAATTTTCTCTGATATTTTCCCTTAAGAATTTTATTGTTTTATGTTTTACATTTGGGCCTGTGATCCATTTTGAATTAATTTTTGAGTACTCTTGAG